AGCTAAATCCCTGGCTGCTCTTCTCAATCTTAACTTGGGCCACTCTGATCACAAGATCTCCTTGCCATTTCCCAATGTGTCAGATACATTCTCTACTCTGGACCTTTGATGTTTCTTGTATGTTAGATCTGCACATCACTCTTTCATTCCTTTAAGTCTTATATTGGTAGTCAGTTGGTCATGGAGGCATTCCTAACTTCTATTTAAAATGCAACTCAGCCCGCCAGGTGATGCACACCTGTAATCCCAGCACTCAGGAAGGCTGAGGTAGGAGAATCAAAGTTTGAGCCCAGTGTAAAGCTATTTGATAACTCAGCAAGACTTGTCACAAAATTAAAAAAAATTATTTTGTTTGCTTGTTCGTTTTTAAGATATGGTCTCACTATGTAGTTGAGACTGACTTGGAACTTACTATGTAGTCCAGGTTGGTCTCGGACTCACAGCGATCCTCCTGCTTCAGCCTCCCGATTGCTGGGATTACAGGCTTGCACCACCACGCCTGGCTCTAAAAAATATTTTAAAAATGGGGCTTGGGATGTAGCTCAGTCGTAAAGTTTGATTTGATTAGCTTTAGAAAATTATTCTAAATTACATGGAGAAGCAAAGACCACAACAGCCAACATAATACTGAAGGAAAAAAAATTGGGGAACAACACTACCTGATGTCAACACTTACTATAAGGTTATGATAATTAAAACAGTGTGGTATCACAGAGATCAATGGGAAAGAAGGCAGAGCCCAGAATCTGACCTACATAAATGCAGCCAATTTTTTTTTTTCTGGTACTGAGTAATGAACTAAGGGAGCACTGAGTTATATTCCAGCCCTTTTCAAATTTTAAAAATATTTAATAGGTCTTGTAAATTGCCCAGGCTGGCCTCAAGCCTGTAATCTTCCTTCCTTAGCCTCCTAAGCATCTAAGATTAAAGGCAAGCACCATCATACCTGGTAGCCAAATAATTTTTTTGACAAAGGAGCAAAGGAAACAAATGGAGAAAAGACAGGTTTACAAGAATTGGTGCTTGAGAGTAGAGATTCAGCTCAGTGGGAAAGCATTTACCTAGCATTTGCTAATCCCTCAGTTTGACTTCCCAGAACCAGAAACACACACACACACACACACACACACATGCACACACGCACGCGCACACGAGATCTAGTGCTTGAATAACTGACATCCACATACAAAAAAAAAAAAGAATCAATCTAGGTTACACAATGTACATCTTTCACAACAATTAACTCAAAGTGGGTCAATCACAGAGCTGAATGCAAATTGTGAAACTATCCGACTTCACCATGAAAACCTAGGTGCTGAGAACAGATGAAGGTTACACAAGTAGTAGTAGAACATAATTCAATCATCTGTGTTATCACAAAGCCCATTTTCCTCACCACACATCACTCTCCTCCCTTGGAAGAGCAGTTCCCCTTTTTCTAAAGAAACAGCCAGTGCCAACTTCCACACCTACTTCCATTTCACAGCAAGGGAACTGACTCAGACCACTGGGGTGCCATGGAGTGCTAGTCAAGAAAAGCAATCACCAGAGACTGAGTCTTTTTGCAAATTTACATCAAATGTTGTGAAAGACACAATAAACAACCTCCTAAGGGATCTTACCACTTTCAGACTTTCATTTACTCATTTCAATCACTCATGGGCTTCATTTGTTTACTCAGATGGTCACCACAGAAATATATGCTGACTGTGTACTGTGTGCCTGGTACTGGTTTAGGCACTAAGGATAAAAAGACACATAAGAATGGCCAGGCGTGGTGGTGCACGCCTGTAATCCCAGCACTCAGGAGGCTGAGGCAGGAGGATTGAGACCAGCCTGAGCTACACAGTGAGTTCCAGGTCAGTCTCAACTACATAGTGAGACCCTGTCTCAAAAAGCCAAAAAAAAAAAGACACATAAGAGCCAGGCACAGTGGTGCATGGTTTATAATCCCTGCACCCTGGGCAGCTGAGGCAGAAGGATCTCCAGTTTGAGCCAAGCCTGGCCAATTACTGACTTAGTAAAACCCTGTCTCAAAATAAAAGCTAAAAAGCAGTGAGGATAAAATTCAGTGCTAAGGCCCTGGGTTCGATTCCCAGTGCAAAAAAAGAAGAAATAGGGATTTATAAGGCACAGATGTTACTCTCCACAAATAGGTTTTAAATCTAGGAGCAGTGCTGTCCAATAGAAATAACAGGTATGATCGCAAAAATTACACTGAAAGTTTAAACTTTTGAAAATTACAGTAAAAGGCACATTGCCATTAATGTTCCTCAAAAGCAAAACACTTTTCATGGGCATTTTCACTCTGAATAAGAGTCAGAAGTCCTGGTGCCAGACCTGGTGAAAAAGGTGGGTGAGGACACACTACTGTTTTCATGAGCCTTTCTGTTGGATGGCACTAGGCAGCAGCACTCACCTTACTTTTGATCACACCTTTTAAAGACAGGAGAGGAATTACAGAACTGCTTCAGAAAATGGCAAGAGCTGGGTGTGGTGGTGCACATCTGTAATCCTAGCACTCAGGTCAGGAACCTAAGGCAGGAGGATCGCTGGGAGTCTGAGGCCAGCCTGGACTACACAGTTGAGTTCAAGGCCAGTTTGAACTACAAAGCAAGATCCTGTCTCAAAAAACAAATCAAAACAAATAGAAAGGGGCAAGAACAATGGAATAGGTATGTTCAAACTGAAGAGCATTTTGAGGGGGATTAGCTGCAATGTGTATTACTGTACTAAAACTTTTAAAAAATATATAAACATTCACAGTATATTTTGATCACTACTGTATAGTGTGAGCCAAATTTACACTTTCATATTTTTTAATTGTAAAGTTTCAAAAAAGTTATTACTTTTTGAAACAGGTGAAATGACTTTGAGTAATTTATTTAACCCAACATTTCAAAAAGATCACTTCAACATGTAATTAGATACTTATATTGAAATATTTTACATTCTTTTGGGGGAATATGTATTTATTGGTGTGTATTTTTCATTTACAATTAGGATTAGCCATATTTCAAGTGCTCCATAGCTGTATGTGGCCCGTGAATGTGTTGTCCAACGCTGGCAACTGTCCTTGGGGGACAGACAAGGAAGATTTTCAAACAAAAATGTAGTCAGTACAGTTGTAGAGATATGTTCACAATCACTGGAGTTAGGGCTTGGGTGGGCTTCCCAACACCTTCCATCACATTACAGAAAAGACAGACATTTTATCCCACTTCAAACAGTGGAATCATGGTTGGCCCTCAGCCATCCAAACTTAATATACCCAAAACAAAATTCAGCTTTTTACCTCAATATCTCCTCCCCTCTTATTTTCCTTTATTTATTTATTTTTATTTTTTGGTTTTTTGAGACAGGGTCTCACTATGTACTTCAGACTGCTCTGGAACTCACCGTGTAGCCCAGGCTGGTCTCGAACTCACAAAGATCCTCCTGCCTCAACCTCCCACGTGCTGGGATTATAGGCATGCGTCACCATGCCCAGCTATTTTCCCCTTTTTAGACAGTCTCCTCTGTAGTTTAGGCTAGCCTTGAACTCACTGTGTAGCCCAGGCTGAACGCAAATCCTCCAGCCTCAGCCTTCCCAGAGTGCAAAACCACCCCCAACTCTCCTCTAATTTTCTAGTTGTTAATAGCCAACCTCACTGTCTACTTGCTTTCTCAAGTCACCTATCTCAGCTGATAAAAGTGCGCGTTATTTATAAGGCAATTTGGAAATATCAAAGATTTGTAAATATGCACCTTCTCCACCCCACCTACCCGAATTTGTTTAGGCCATCTGCATCTTTTTGAGGGTCACATGACAAAAAGCCTTGTTTAACAGTTATCACTAACCACTGCCTAGGACCCCGCAGGGCTCCCACAGACCTGTGGCCAGTCTCTTCAGCACAAAGCCCAGAATTCCCTCGTGGATCGTTCTTTGCTTACCTAACAAGGCCCAATTGTTTGCCCTTCCCAGACTCTGAATACAGTCACTTTCTTTCTTTGAGCCTGGTATTGTTACAGAAACAACCAACCACAAGTCTCACAAACAGGACTTAAGATTTCGAAAAGAGAGTACATGTGAAACAACACATAACTAAGGGTCTGTTCTCCACAACTGGCCCTCACACTTTGTACCCATCTTTCTACGACCTAGTTCGTGCCTCTTCCAGTCGCTGAACATTTGCCAGGTTGTCAGGCACTGGGCGGGACGCGTCAGAGACAGAAAACACAGGTCTGACGCAATCTTTGCGTTCCCCAAGCTCATTAAAACACTGTGTCTCACCCAACACCTTTAAGGACTAGATGATATCTAACAATTAAGAGAAAGTATAGGGGATTTCCCCGGAAGTTCGGGCTGCCGAGCACCGAGGCCAAGCCACACAGCAGAATCAAACCTAGTTCCACGTGGCCGGCAGGGAGGCGGAGCGTGTCGCGTCGCTCTGCCCTTTGCTGTTGCGCCTGCGCGCTACCGCTCTCTCAAGGACCCGTATTTAAAGAGACAGGCGCTCCAACCGCCGGGGGCTGCCTGCGGCCTGTGGGCGCCTGGTCTTGAGTCCTGTGCTGAGCGCCGGAGCCCGGGAGGTAGGTGATGGCCGGCGCGG